AAGCAATGAAAATATCTTGGAACTGGATAGTGGTGATGGTTATGCAACATTGTGAATGCACTAAATGGCACTAAATTGTTCACTTTAAAATGCTTAACCTTATGTTATGTGAAATTCACCTCAATTTAGAAAATATTTTTTAAAAGATCTGAACTCAGAGATTCCGGAGACTGAAATGCACCCCCAGCGGCCCAGCGCCCGGGTCCCCCTTTCAGCCCCTGTGGTTTCAGCTCCTACTTCCTTCCCCTGACAGCTTGATTATTCACTGGGCCGCCTTTCCATTGTGTTCTCCCCTCTCTGAGTGTGCAGTTAGATAGCTCTTGGGTGTCTTTATCTGTATCTTGCTGGAAGTTGACATCCTCTGAGCCGCTGTCTGTCTGTTTTATCACAGACCCGGCCCAGGACCGGGGCAGAGGGGAAGGGGCCGTGAGCTGCCCTGAGGAGCCCCCCGTTCCAATCAGGGCTTGGCCGCCCCCGGGACTAGTCACAACCCCCATGGGTTCGTGTTATCTAGAAAGGACACAGGTCACAGCCCAGAAACCGGCAAACAGCTGAAGAGGGCTGATGCTGTAACCCACCTCTCCACCCTTCGGAGTCCGTGAGAGCCTGGACACAGCCCACGGACCTGTAGAGCTTTGGGTCCCCAGGGCAGGGGGAGAGGAGGGTCTTGAAAGGGGAGGTCATGGAAAACAAGCCCCGCCTTCCTTGCAGTTGGTCCAGGTGTGCAGGCAGCGCTGTGTTCCCGGGAGCCCATCAGTGAGCCCTCAGGACAAAGGTCCCTCCTGCAGCAGGTGCCCAGGCCTGGAGGTTTCCCCTGGGCGGCGTCCCCTGCCGCTGCCTCGTGGCGGACCACGCAGGTTGGGAGGGAGAAGCCGCCGAGATTAGCGAGGGCTACAGGATGCGCACACCCACACCCCCTGCAAAACAGCTGGCCATGCTGCAGGGCTGTGTGTGGAGTCAGGGTGGGTGTGGGCATCAAAACCACCACCATCCAAAGGCATTAAGACTGAACACTGCAGAGGAATGGTTGCATAAACCCAGCATCTTAAATGAACTATGCTGGTAATTCTAACGGTTCTGAAGGACAGACCCTTAAACTGACTTCCGGCTGACCTGTTTATCAGGAATAGGATTCAGGCGGTGCCGAGCGCAGTCTTCTGGTCCAGCGGGCTCAGTCCTGCGTACAAGTGTCTCTGGTGCCCTCTGCTGTTTGTCCTTGGCTGTGCCACCCTCACAGGCCGGCAGGTGGAGCCGAGTCTGGAATAAAGGACAGGTAAACCTAGTCAGACTCCTGGAGGGAGGACACCTGCAGAACCTCGCAGACCCAGATGTCCGTGTTCTCAGCAGAGGCGAGCTGTCTTGGGGCCCCTCTCTACTTCTCCACCTGGGGCACCTTCACCTTCCTGCGTCAGCACCACGGCCAACAGTGACAGAGGCCACTGCATGCTGAGTGCCTAAAAGGTGCAGCTGGCTCCTCCCAGCTCCCCCAGATGGCAGGTGCCGCCCCCAACTTTGCAAATGAGGAAACCCAGCCCCGTGATTAGGTGACTTGCCAGCCTGGTGCCTGGACGCAGACTCTGATCTCTCTGCCGCCCTCACTGCCGCTGCATCTCCTGAAGGCCCGGCCGTGTCGGCTGGGGCGGGTGAGGCAGGAGCGTGAGCCCGGGTTTCTCCAAGACCAGCAGCCGTCAATTCCATGCACGTTTGTTAACCAAAGACATGAGCAACCTTCCGACCAAATCAAGGCCGGAAGGATCATGCTTTCCTAGGATCAATCCCCAGTACTAACTTCATTTAGGAAATAACAGTGTGTTCATCCTGTCAACTGCTTACCTGTCGAAATGCGGCTTTTTGAGGATGGTGCACTTAGTCTTTCAGTAAACAGGGACTCCGGGAGCGAGCCAGACCCTTCTTGCATTACAAAATTGGATTGTCAGCTTTGTATACTTAAAGGCCACTATGAAAAGACCCATGAGGATCAAATAAAGCTTTGTCCTCCAGACTAGAAATTCCAAACCCCGTGAACAGCGCAGCGCACGCCTCTCGCGCTTGCCCCCAGCACACGACTGCGTTCTAGAGCTTTGTGAGAATATTGAAGCCATATTTCTCCCCCCAAATGGTCATGGATAATTTGTCTAGAGAGGGGAGGGTAGAGCTTGGTGATAGAGGCATGTGTAACATGCACAAGGTCCTGGGTTCAGTCCTGGTACTCATTAAATAAATAAGTTAAATAAATAAATAAATAAATACCGAATTAGCTCCTCCTCCAAAAATTTTGTCTAAAAATTTCTAATATTTCATTTCAAATCAACAAAACACAAAAACAGTTGCTTGCCCATGTTTGTTTACCACAAAGAAGGCTGACAAGTTCCCTCTTTATGAGATAGACCTGGAGCTCAGTCTGCTTGCACGAAGGGGTGGAGGGTCTCACGTCATCTCCACGCCAGCTTCTCCCCTGGGGGGACGGGCCGTGATGGTGCTGAAGTCACGTTAGACGTGTTTCACAAGATCGGGGTCGCAGGTACATATGTAACAGGATGGGCACTGGGAAGAGGAGGGAGTGAAAAATGGACTGATTGAGAGTCAGGATTTCCTGTCTGGCCAAATGGAAAACTCCAAATGGGGGTGTCATGGGGAAGCCTTTGGTCCTTTCCGTCCCTCAGCCTCTCTGTCCCCCTCCCCACTTGTCCCCGTCACACACGCTCTGAGGGAGAAGGCAGGATCTGGAGGGCGTCCTGTCCTCTCTGCCACCCCTGGGACTGGGGTGGGGTAGCAGGATCTGGACTTCACTGTTGGAGTTGGAAGTGGCCTTGCCGCCTCCCAACCTGCCCATGTTTGAGTTTGCCTCCAGAGCTGGGCTGGGTGCCAACCAGGGGGTGGAGGGTGTGGGGTGGGGCTGGCGGGATAGTGTGTCCACAGAGTGACCGGAGAATCGTGGCTTCATTTCTGTCATTCCTGATTCCCCCGTTCAGTTCTCTAAATCTTATCTGCAATGTGGTGGCACCAGAAAATGAGAAGGAAAGAGGATTCGTGATTCTAAAGGGGGGAATATGCAAAATTTAGCAACTTGTTTCAGGGAGAACCCCAAACAGTGACTACCCTGTGCGTACAGGGGGTTTCCAGGTGGCCGGAGTCAGGAGCACCGTGCAAGGTACCCCCCACGAGAAGGTGGCTGTTTGGGGTTGGTTGCAGGTTGAGTGAGGTCATGGGTGAGTGCATGGTGCTGTGGCACTTTGGGGATCCCCATTTCTTGCTGTTGGGCATTTATTTATAAATATACCACGTATATGGCATTAGGTCTCACTCTGTTTTTCAAGTGGCAGAAACCAAGTCAAATCGGCGATAGTGGCAATTTATCTGCTCCTGTCATTGAAACGAGATGGCTGCTGGTAGGTTTGACTCCAAAGTCCTGAAACTGTCAGTAGGACCCCATCTCTGGCTCCATCCTCAGGTGGGCGCGTTCCCTAGGTAAACGAGCCCAGCGTCCAGACTCCGCGTGTGCAGAGTGGCCGTGGGTGCCGAGAGGGCGGGGGCTCTGAGCTGGGCCGGCATCCCCTGTTGTGGGTTTCACGCCCGTCTCTGAGCAGGCACCGCGCCCCCGGAATGATGGGGCCGAGTCACGCCCCTGCCTGTGGTGGGTGACCGTGGTGGGGTCACTGTCATCGGGACCACGTGGAATTCAGTACTCACAGAAAGGAGGGTGGAGCCCCGACGGGTAGAAGGACCACGGGTGTTCACCGTACGCACCCGGTGTAGGGCAAGCCGGTGTACAATCTGCAAAAACAAACAGTAAATCGTGTAGCAGGAGTGTGTTCCTGTCACTTACTACCGTCCAGCTGGGGGACAGAAAACAAGGACAAAGGGTCAGGAGAGCAGAGTTCTCAGCCTCGGCTGCACTGAGCCTCACCTGGGATGCCTCACAGGCACCGAGAGGCCAGGACTCTGTCCCCCGGCGCGCTGATCCATTAGATCCGGGAGTGTGTAAAACTCCCACATGCTTCTGATTAAACAAGGGAAAGACTTTGCTGGTAACTGTCCCTTGTCAGCCGTGTCGGGAGACAGCGGAGGTGCAGGGGGAGGCTGAAGTCACAGTGTCCTCAGAGCAGGTGTCTCTGAGTGGGGTCCCGGGGCCCCCTTTCGACAGCCCGTCGGGTCGAAGCGTGTCCCCAGGTTGTGTGGGGGAATTCGGACCTCTTTGGGCCTGTGAACCACAACTGTTAGCAAGGAGTGAAAGAGCTTAAATTTGGCCACTTTCTTCATCCCATGTTTTGGTGGCTCTGAGCCTGGGAGCGGAGAACAGAGGAGCAATAAAACAGAAAATGAACACTGCACCCTCGCAACGTGGTGCGTGCAGACATGGGGACAGCCATGGTTTCTGTTCCCAAGGTCCTGCAGCCACATTGCTAGGTAAAATCTTCAGGTTATTTCAAAATTTGATTCTAGACAAAGAGAGACTAGGACAGAAGAAGGAGGCTTGGGTGTGTGTGTTCTGGGTTGGACCCCGTGACTGAACAGGACTGAAGTTTAAGTAGGCGTACGTCTGCCTGTTTACAGATGGAACGTCTTCTGTCCCAGAGCTGGGATGAACATCTCTGCAGGATGGAGGGCCTAGAAGTCACCTTAAGACGTTGGCCCCGTCCCCTTAGTGATAACCACAGCTCACTGGTTAGATGCTGTGCGTCTGGAGATTAAACCAGTGACTGTTTTTTTTTCTGGTTGCGTTTTGGGGCTGGTGATCATCACTTCCTTTGGCTGAATTGTAAAAAGTTGCACAAAAGTTTGCAAGTTCCCTTCTTTGGGTGTTTACTGAACGGCTTCCTGAAAGCCAGTGGAAGTCCTCAAACTATTGAAGATCATGTGGAGATTAATGTTTAGGAACAAAAAACTCCCTGGCTTGGTGAGTGCTGGTGTAAGTGCCCTCCCCCTCCCCTGCGAGGCTGCTCACTGACCCCTGACGTCCTGTGACTTAAAGGAATTTTCTTCACTTTCTGCTTCTTCAGGGCAAGTATGAGGCGGCTCAGCCTGAGACCAAGTCAGCCGCGGCAGGAGAGGTGAGTAGCTCGCGCTGGCGTCTTTGTCTCCGCGCGAAGTTCAGTTACGTTTTTTTAAAATGTTGAACGTGAGGTCTTTTTTCAGTCTCCTCGGTTGTTTCATGCTGCCCAAGGCAGCAGGGCAGCTATGGGTGCTCTCAGGAGACTGCAGCCTGCACAGTAGAGTTTAAGTTATTTGGCGTTCTGTGTGAATTGCAGAAATGCCCTGAGTTGTGCAATAACGTCTTCTCACGGCAGGGGTCCGCCTTGCGCGCCCAGCCGAGGGTGTCACCCTGCTTTCCACGGAGGGGCAGGGTTTTATTCTGAATGTGTGGACCACTGGGGATGTGATATAAGTGATTTTTTGGGTGCAACTTTCCTTTTAAAACTTGATTACGTGCCTTCACATTAAGCAGGGGTTACAAACAGCAGACAGACATCAGAGCACGACCAGGCTGGGATGTCGGGCCGGCGGTGCTGGCTGCCTGGGGCGTTTGTGGGCAGGCGCTGGCCGGCTTGTGGGAAGCTGTTCTAGGAACTGGGCTTAAAGTGAGTCATTTTAGACACATAATGTTTCGATTTCAGTGCTCGTAGTATTTCAAGCATCTGTCTGATGGGAATGCTCTCATTATAAATAGGAATTTTACCAGGCGGTTTTGTGGGTGTTTGGTTTCCTCCAGCTCCCGGCGTCCCGGCCAGTGATAGTGCTGCGTGTGCCAGGGAAGCCGGGGCACCTGTCACGGTTGAGGTTGACTGTCCCCCGCGGGCCTGGCAGGTGCGATGGGCCTGCTCCCTGTAGGTGCCAAGCAGGTCCCGGAAGCCGAGAGTATGATCAGGCTTATTAATTGACGTGACTGCATCCAGCAAATTACGCTCTGCTCGTAGTAGGCAGAAACACTCCTGATTTTCGGCATATTTGGCATCTTTCTACCAGCCCTGCTCTACTGGCCTTGCCGAGGTGGTGGGCCACCTGTGCCCTGTGCAGGGAGGGAGCTGCTCGGAGAAGCGATGGCTTGTCGGTGACTCACTGGGGGTCCAGGGGTCCCCGGGGCTGTGCGGAGGCCCAGCTGGTTCCAGCCACCTGCTTTCCTGGAGCGAAGGAAGCCCTGGCCGAGAGTGGCTGATCTTGCGTTGGGCTGGGGACATTCGTGCAAACAGCTCCTATCACTGGACATCAGTGTCTTACTTACACACACTTGCGTTTTCCTGTCTGCATCTGACTGTAGTTTTATTAATAGCCCAACACGAAGAATTCGGTTGAGGAAAAGGTTCTCAATGCTGTTGTCTTATATGATTCGATTTCCTAGTTAGACATAAAAATTGTGTCAGTAGATTTAAAAATTAATGGTCACTGACTTACGGCTGTACAAAATCTCAAAGCAGCTCTAATTAGCTAAGCGACTGGACAAGTGTTTGAACACTGCTGTAAACTGCATCCTTATTGCAGTTAACTCAGAAAACGAGGTATGTCGTGGTGGGTTTCCCACTTTCCTCATAAGCTTTTCTCAGTCCAGTTTATGACCCACTCAGAAACTAACCAAGCCCTGGCTGGCGAGCCTCAACGACACTTCCCTTGGCTCTATGCAGTCGTGCGAGGAACGTGTGTCTGCTGGGAAGACCTAGTCTCATCACAGCCACGGTTAGACTGGCCACACCTGGCAGGAGTGACGTGTCAGTCCTGAGCACGTGTCTCTTTTCTAGGTCAATGCAATGAACTCAGGCAAATAAATCAAGAATGAGGCTGGCGGGTGACTGACTGGGGACTGGGCGGGGAAGATAGAGCTGTGGCGGCCTGTGTGAACCGTCCCCTCAGAGCTCACTGGCCAGGCCAACGCGGTGCTACCGGTAAGAGCCGCGGTCGGGGTGGAAAGCTTTCCAGGCAGAGCGGTGGTGCTATCAGGCCCGGGTCACATCCCAGGTCGAGGCTCCCCAGAGCCCCGAGCCCGTGGCGGCCTGGGCTCCTGCAGGGCTCTGAGCCCCTGAGCGGGTTAAAATGCTTGGCCGAGTTTCCAGATCCACCTTGAATATGATGGGCAGGAGTCCCTTCTTATATTCAGGATAAAAACCACAAATCGGACCTCAGACAGCACCCCCCGGGGGCACTCTGAAGTACGAAAGAGGCCGTGAGTCAGCAGGGAGCCAGAAATTAAGAACTTCCCCTTCCCTGTGCTGTTGTCTCCGTCTCTCTTTCCACGTGCAGCTTTAATAAGACTCTGCAAACCTTTGTGTTAAACAGATGTTCCGCCAAGTGAGAGGAGTACAGGGTCTCCTGTTTAAAATCCAAAGACAGATTTAGGTGCTGGTGCAGAAGCAGGAGGAACTTACAGCTTTAATGGGAAATACAATGATATTTCACCAGGAACGTCACGGAAGCTGAATGTGGACATTGGCCAAAATCAAAGATGATTTTCTCCAGTGATTTCTTTTGTGGAAGCAAATAACGGTTTTATGTTCTCCTCACATGTACTCTTTGATGACTCAAAAAGAATTCCAAATTAGCCCCAGCCTTACTTTTCCACGCTAAGCCAAAGACATCAGCCAGGGCTCAGCTAAGCCTGGAAATCAGACACTGTGAGGAAAGAAGTCAGGTTCCTTCTACAATTCGGCTATTGCTCCCAGGACTTATAAGTTACTTTTATATGAGATTGATATGATATTAATCGTGTTAATACACATGATTTATTGATAACAATAGTAAGTCAGACCCCCACGTCACGGTGGCTGTATTTTTGTTGTCCACGTGCTGAGGAAGCCATGTGAGTCCTTCGATGCCTCTGGGTGAGGCGAATGTGTCCCTCTCTGCGCTGTTCACACGTGCAGACATAGCACGTGTGCATCTGAAGCAGCACCTGTTCGGCCTGTGGGAGGAGACTGGGATACCACGTGCCCACCAGCAGTTTGCAGTGGTCTCTGTACCCGCAGGTGGGGAACACTGAGGGGTCACAGATGTTCCGGTTTTTGGTCTGCACCTGGAAGCCAGCGAAGAAATGGAGCAGTTTTGTGGGAGTGGAAGGGACGGCAAGGAACTGCATTTTCTCTGTGCAGTCGGTGACGCACCGGCGACTTGGAAGATGCTGGGAGTTTTACTCGAGGCCGAGTGAGTTCCTCAGGGACTGGGGTAGATGGAGCCCCAGGCACTGGCTGGCAGCCCCAGTGTGTGCTAGAGACCCGGGCCACTGAGCCCAGCTCTCACATGGGAAGAGGAAGAAGAGGCAGCTTCCTTGAGGATGCTTCTTTCATTAAAAAAAAATGTCTTTAAGCATGCTGCATGCTGGGTACCAGGAGAGGTCTGCTGGGGGATTTAGGATGTGTCTGCCCCACTGTCTCTCTCACACACACACACACACACACACACACACACATACACCTGTTGCCCCTGAAGAGCGCTAAGGGAGTAGCCAGCGTGGTACGTGACCCAGAAGGCCCTTCTGTACGTGTGGGGGCCAAGATGGCAGCAGGGGGAGTGAGGGCGTCGGAGAGGGCGGCGTGGGAGCTCTAACTCTCCTGCCGCCCTGCTGCGTGGCCTCTTCGGAGCTCATTTTCCTTCCCAAGTGGTCATCTGCAAGGTTCCTGCTCTTGTCTTGGTCCAGATGGGATAGACGGTTGTTTTGTGCTGACTGATAAGCACCAAGTACCGGAGCCTTCTGATAACGGGCTCACGTCTTTTTCACAAGGTCACCAAGCCGGGGCTGCCCTTGGCAGCTGTCCACGGGGGTCCGGAGGCTTCCATCTGGCAGCCCCAGCATCCCGGGCTCTTTGTTCTAATCGCAAGGCAGGGGTAGGGGGATAACCTGTGCCCCTTTAACCCATCTCCCAGAGGCAAGGACTCGGCCGTGTGGTCCCCTCCTGACCACCTGCCTGCTTTCTCAGCCTGGGAGGAGGACAGACGTCGTGAACACGTTGCGGTGGTTTCAGACACTGCAGCTCTGAGATGGTTCCTTGGGGGTCCAGAGAAATGGAACCCTAGGTTTACAGAGGAAGACGCATCCTCATGCTTCAAAGCTGACAGTATGGTGCCTGATGGAAACAGGAAGTGGGCGCTTTCTGTTGTGCTGGTTTACTTCCTGGGCTTAATTGTGCCAGCATTTTGGTTCTGCGGCTGGAGGCCCAACGCTCAGTCTGACGACAGTTCCTTTAACGTAGGGGCCAATAAACAGCGATGGCGGTTCCCCAAAATAATTTCTTTGGAAAATGTATTTGGAAGATGAGTAAGCCAAGACTGTCACAACAGCTTTCCATGGCAGAAAATAGAAGGCAGTGTCTTGCCATGGCGACCACGACAACGTTCAGTCCAGAAACTCACATATACTTGCAACTAAATGCCATCAAACGTGAGCGGTTTCTATTGCAAAGTCACTAGATGCAACGTGACCGTGACTCTGACTTAGCCGGGGACCAAAGACCCTATCTTTTTGTTTGTGCATTTTCCAAAGGACTCCAATTCCTGTGGAAGTTTGAATTGTACTGCAGTTAAGATAACTCAAAATACTGTTCCAGAAAGCCTGATGAGTTCAGGTCGGGACGGTTCAGAGCCTTGGCTTCCGTTCCTCCTGCCCTGTTCTCACTCAGCACCCATGCACGCTGTCACCAGGTGATGACAAGGAAGAGGAATTGTCAGTGAATGTCGTTTCAGATGATTTGGGCAAATGTGTGGTGTGGGAAAGATGACATTTTTTGGCTGAGCCGTTTCCTGGGATTTGTGTTAATCTGGGCTAGTTTCCTTTTCCCAGGAGAGACAGAGCAGACCTCACATTCCCTGTGACCATGACTGGACCAGGGAGTCTCTATGCTGGGCAGTCCTCTTGTCACCTCTGTGCAACATGTAATAGCTTTGGCAAGCTGACTTCCATATTGTTGAGATGTTTCTGGCTTAACTCTTGGGATTTCCTCTTCAGGTGGTAGACCAGATGGCTGTACCCTTAGCGGTAGATGTTTGTGCCATTTTGTAAGAAGTCTTTCATTTTATTCTGCAAGGAAAATAATCTAAGAACTTGTCTGTGCCCCCAGACAAGCTCCCTCTC